GAGTGGATGATGTGCTGTAAACATATTGCCATTTTGTAAACATGTTTTTTCTCTCTTAGAGATTTACGAGTGTGCTATTTTTACAGAAGATTCCAGGACATAAAGATGCCACATCGAAGGCTCTCCTAATGCAAACACTCTTTCTTCCCAGAAATCTAATAATGAATCAAGCACATGTTTCAGACAAAACACAGGGGCGAGACCAACACAGGGTCCCGAAGCAGCAGCTGCTTGCTAGTTCAACACAAGTGCTCGCATCCCAGGGGTCACCACGGACCCTCGAGACGAGCCGATAACATCAGCAGTGCTTTAAGACACGGCAGCGGTGACGGCACAGTGACAGGCGGATGTCAGGAGCTGGAATTAGATGACCTTCCTTCAGCTGAAATCCTTTAGGGAAAGGCTGAATCTGCGGTCAGTTTTTCTATATATAATTTTTTATTTTATTTACATAAGTATTTTTATTAATATATTTATGTTTTATTAAAGAACTTAAATATTTATAAAAAAAACCATCTAAAAAATAAAAATCTGTCAGATTATATACAGAACCTGACTGAAGATTCAATCATTATATATTTGTATATGTGTATATGTACATATAACAGATTTTTATTATATTTATAATGATACATTTACATACTTTTTATACTTGATTATTTAAATTTATTAAATGTTACATGAATATTTTGATATATTATTTATATAGATGTATAATTTATACATACTTTTTTATAGATCTTTTTATTTATATATAAAATAAAATATGTAGAAAAATAAATCAAATTAAATCGGTTAAAAAGTCCGATAAAGCAGATTTGTATTATTTTGAATTTTGAATGCATGTACTTTTCATATTTTACATTATATTTATAGTATTTATCTATAAAATGTAAGATTGATATTTTGTTATATTTTATATGTACATAAATAAATTATTTAACAGATTTTTATTTTATATATAAAAATGTAATATTAAATCTAATAAAATCTGTTAAAAACTAAAAACATTTTTTTTTAAATGTACATGAATAAAACAAAAATAAAAGTGTAAAAAAACTATACTAAAAACTAGAAAGTTTCTCAGTCATATAAAAACAACACTGAATATTTCTGAATGTAATAATACAATGTGATTTATAGTATTTATAATGTTTGTAAATGTTTTGATTTATGTTCTAGTATTTTATTGCAGTCAACTAAAACTAAAGTCCGAAACACACTGCACAATCTTCGGCTGTCCCAGACGATGTTATAGGTTTGCTAAAATCATGCAGTGTGTCTCAGGCTTAAAATCATAATAAAAACGTGTGTTACTTAAAATAAAATAAACTTTAACTGAAAAAAAAACCTTGTTTTGTTTCAGCTAGTTGTCAACGCAACATTTCTCATTTTTATTTAGTTTAACGTGTTAAAAAAGCAAAATAAATAAAAGTAAAAAAGTTTAAATTTAATTCAATGAAATACGGAAAATATACCAATATAAACTAGAGATGCACCGATCGATCGGCCAGGGATCGGAATCGGCCGATTTTCCTCATGATCGGCCCGGATCGGTTATCGGCCGGTCAGTCTCACTGCTTTCCAAAACGCGCGCGCACCACCACTGATCTATATTAGTGGAGCGCACAATCCACGCTCAGTCTCAAACAACTTGTGAGCCACAAATACCAAAATGAGTGGCTAGCTGCGCTAAAACGTTCAAATACATAAAAATGCCCATGTCAAAATGCCCATCTTGGCGAGTATCCAGTTAAACACAGTCAGTTTTGGAACGTTAAATAGTTGAGAAAGAGAACGTATGTTTTGTAACAGTATATTGGGTCCGTGGATAAACTCTTAAAGGTCTCATATTTTACACCTTTCTGGAGTTTTATTTTAGGTTTTGATGTCCTTAAGAATATATATTTGCGGTATAAGTACCAAAAACCATCTCAATATATTTTTACAGCTCGTCTCTCAGGAGCTCTGCTGAGAACAGGTCGATTTTGGCCTGTCTAATTAATATTCATGAGCCTCTCTTCTGATTGGCCTGTTGTTTTCTGAGTGACGCACGCCCAGGGTAACCACAAGTAACTAGGGTCAGCGACGTCACAGCGCTAGCTGGAGGTGGCCCATTCAAAGCAGTCGGCAGATCTGGTTTCGTGGTTAAAGTTAACCTTTTCGACATGTTTCCGTGTTGTTGTTGCTCAGCAATGGCAAGGACGCAATGTTGTCTGGGGGTTTGGCTAAAGGAGGGTGGGATGGTGGGCGGTGCTCGGGGTGGTGACTGAAGGCGGTGACTGTGTAGTTCTGACGTCAACTTTTTACGGAAGTCACAACGGTTCGTGAAAAATCACAGCTACTTTATGCAGGCTGTGTGCATTTTACTGTGGACTGACTGTTTTGAAACTTATATGGTAGTTAAATAGCCCCTAGACCTCAGTTATCATGAAAAAAAGCCAGGAAATTGCTGCTGTCTGTCATGTTAATCAAAGAACAAAAGACAAGGAAAATCACTTTCTGCTCTTGACTGCTCTTGAATTTTATAACTTTTATGGTAAGTATTAATCTGTATTTAATTTTTACAATGAAGACTACAAAAATTTAAAACACTGAATGTGTTATTTTACATCTGATTACTTTAATTTCTGTAGTATTTCTTACCTGAATAAAAACTTACTTAACCTGAAAAACTTAGTTTCATGGCTCTCTTTATTCTATTGCATTTATTTGTGCTGTTGTTTGCAATTTTTGTATTTGTTCTTATTTTATTAATGACTCTTTACTTGTTTTTTTTTATGAAAATAAAACTTTGCGTTAAAGAAAAGTAGATTTTTGTTTGTGTATGCTGTCAATTATAGTTCTTTGAAAGAAAATCAGAATCGGCAAAAATCGGTATCGGCAGATCACACTAACAAAAAAATCGGAAATCGGAATCGGCCAAGAAAATTGCAATCGGTGCATCTCTAATATAAACCAATTAAACACTATAATAGTACCTTAATAACACAGACCAGTATTTTACATGGTTTATGAATGTAATACTAAAATGAGATTTATGCACCAGGGGCCTGTTTCATAAAACAAGTTCACCAAATAAGCCGGGTTTATTTCAATTAGTCTAGACTTATTGTCAGTTGATTTGGTTCAAAATAAGTCAGACTAACTGAAATAAGCCTGGCTTATTTGGTAAACTTGTTTTATGAAACAGGCCCCAGTGCAACTAATCTGTGTGGGGTTTTATTAATTTCCACCAATGCCATTTTGACCTCATGTGAGGCTTATTTTCTGGAAATAGGGTGCTTTCACATCACCACTGAAGTACATACTTTTAATGCATGGAAGATAAATTGAGACACAACCAAAAGCTGCTAGAAACTAGAATGCATTACATTCTCACACAGTTTCTACCTTTCCCTCACTTTTCCACGTCAGGAAGAATCCAAAAGCATCCACTTTGAAAAAACAGTTTGATTCAAAGACAAGCGGATCCTGCAAACAACGGAAACAAAGCAGAAATAAACACTGAGCTTCATCTGAAACATGTTTGTTAGTACATCACAACTTTATTAGACCGTGATGCGCTTGTAACATTTACAGCACTTGTTCTATAAAGGGTTGCATTACACTATTAAGGTTCACTGAGAGAGCTGCTATGAGAAACTTTCTGTCAATCAGGAAAGCAGAAATTAATTTTCTATTTATCTTCTGCTGAATTAACTCTCCCTGTTGCATCTTGGGAAAAAATAAACAAAGTAAAATAAACCACCTTCATAAAGTCAACACAATCAACATTCCATCCCCATCCATTTACGCATTCAAGAGATAATGCCAAAGATATAATGATAACAAACAAATAAAGCTGAATTTCATTTCATATCGACAGAGAGAGGGACCTCCGAGTGCTCTCAGAGCCTCATGGGAAATCTGTACGCCGCTTCAACAGCTCAGATCCAGTCTCTGACACGTCGTTCATGAGAATACATCCTTCCAGAAAACTTTTATTCCAAGATAAACTTCTCCAGGCTGAGCGAATGTTCCCATGGGACGAGTGTCTTTGAGAACACAGATGTTCACAGTATCCTCTGCGATTAAAGCAGCCGGCCACGTTACTTCAAACATATCATAAACCATAGTATATGTACAGCAGCTAAGCTATAAATTTTGTTTTATTTAGTCTAGCTTGAATGAATCTAATAAAAACATGTCCAGGTCTCAGGAAAAAAACAACAACAACAAAAAAAAACTCTTAATTAAGTGAAGTGTAATTACGCACCTTTTACCCAATAAACTACTTTGTATTTCATTACTGAAATGCATCCAGAACATTAAATTTAGTAGTTTTTGGACTGTTTGTTTTCAAATGGACACATTTTTTAGTGTATTATTATTATATATATATATTTTTTAAACTATGGAACATAATGACTTTTTTTTTTTTTTTTTCAATCAGCAAAAAATAAAGCCGGTACAATATATACTACCATGATGATTACTTTTTTATTTAAAATAAAACAAATTTCCCATTAGAGTGGAGAATATGAGAATAAAACTTAATTTGTATGCATTTAATTTAATCTAAAAATATCATAGAAAATAAAAATAATAATATAATATAAAGATTTAAAATAAATTATTTTCATATAATTATTTAAAATATATATATATATTTATAAATACACCATAATGATTACTTTTTTTATTTAAAATGACATTTTTTCCTATTAGAGTGGGGAATATGAGAATACAATTCCATTTAATATAACAAATTAATTTAAAAAAATAATATAAATACAATTTAATATACAAAAATGAAATCATATCAATTATACACAAATTACTGATATTCTCCTAAAAACAATATATTATAAAAATATTACAAATACAAAATAAAGTATATTTGGTGATATCAAATAATATTATATTCTCTTAAAAATACAATATATATAAAAATATATAAAATCATATCATGTAAATTATATAATTACTTTAAATATTGTATTAAAACTGTAATTTTTAAAGTAAATTTTAAACAAATTCAATGATTTATGTGTACGATGGTAAACCATGTGCACTATGTACTATGTGTGTTTATGATTTACCATAGTACACACCAAAGTCAATGAGTCAGAGAAATATTCATACCTCATCAAATCTGTCAAAATATGCTCCTTCCAGCATGAAATGAGGAACAGGCCGCTGCCAGTTGAACTCATATGGTTTCGCCATTTGACCTACAGGACGGGAAAAAAACACAAGCTTTCAGAGCGAGAGAATGAGTGTGTGTATCTGAGATCAAGCTCAGTGTTTTAATCATCTCAGTCCCGTATGGGAGGTCCATCTAAATCAGAAGGCCTAAATCCCAAACGTCCAGCCCAAAACATGCCTGCACAAACACAGGACATGTCATTCACTGAATCACATGTTAAACAACAAAAACATCCAAGAGCCGCTCATGTCTGCTTGAAAATCTGCTAAATAGCCACACAAGTCTGAAAAAATATTCATGGAAATACATACAGAAGGAAATTAAGATGTAAAACATGTTTACTGTGGCTCATAATCTAAATGCAATGTTCAAAGAACACAAAAAAATATCAAACAACACAAGAAAGATGACAAATATACAATGTAAAATATGATTTTTTTTTAGCTTAAAAACAAAGAGTATTAAGAGTATGTTTTACAAGAGCCTATTGCAGTCTTTCTTCTTCAAAATTTCATGTTTAATTCATTATTATTTGCCATTTCTTTGAAATTATTTGTGAAATTTACAAGCGCTTTGAAAACTGTTTCTACACCATTTTTTGCAGTGTATTATTTAAAAACCATACCACAAATTATGTAAAACACATGGACAAAATGACATGAGTATCTTCACTCATATCCATATCTTTTTGCCATTAAAACGCAGGATTTTATACTTATGGTATATTTATAGTATAATGATTAGACATGCAGTGTTTCTGAGCTCATTAAATGGCTGAACTGAACTGCAAAAAATATGTATGTATTTATTTGTTTAAATAAATTAAAAAAATAAAACCACACAAATTCAGACTAGAGTCACTAATGAAGGCAAATGTCAATTGCAAAGCTGAACTTTGCTATCTAAACAAGAGCAGTTTACATAAATGTGACAGTGGGGCAAGTTGTCACATACATTTTAAATGCTGCACATTTATACAAATTGATAACTACAATATTTGTTGACAAACAAACATTCCTTGATATTTTAGATTTGACCTTTTTTTACACTATTTTATTAATTGTTTTGTTACATGAATGCTTTACTACCTATACTTGACTGAAAATTCAATAATACGCTGTTTAATGACAAATTCCCATCAAATGTTTTGTGCATATACAGAGAAAAAAAAGGCAATTATGAGGAATATTCATTGTAAAATGTGTGACAACAAGTCCCAGTTTCCCCTACAGTATGTGGAGTGGGAATGATATTTTCCATTAAACCGTTTGCTCTTTTTACATTGACTATCACTTAAAATAGACTAATACAATCCGATACAACAATAATTTTATACTGAATATACATTATACTGTATATACCAAAAAACTGAACACACTTCAATGGTATGAGATGACTAGATGCTTTCAACTGATTTCCTATTCCTATTCCTATAACTGTCACCAACTGAACTGCAGTGCTCAAACTATTTCAAATATAGTGAATTAAGCTACAAACTCGATCATAATGCACAATATTTCCATCTAACATGTATTTTGAGATGCAGCTTGTAATATTAATGGAGTGTTTCACTAGTTAGCAGTAAACTGGTTCCCTTTCAGTCGGTCACTCTCGACGTCACGTTGCATGCGATGATTGTATCCAGCTGCCGCTGATCGCAGTGCGAGTATAATTAGGCAGCAGGTGCAACGCATACTCAGCTTTTCGCTTCGGAGCTGAGCGGTTGTTTCATTCTGCTCCTGACTTCTGCTTCGTAGAGAAGAAACTCAACGAGTTCAGCGCACTCTTAGGAAGCGCTGGTGCTGGTGGTACGGAGCTTCAGCGGCGGTGGTTCTTCCCGTGTCGAGTGGGTTGCACACATCAGGCTGCACTACCCCCTGTTTGTGTTGCAGGCGGTCATCTCCCCTGTGCGCTTCAGCACACTAAAAGAGTAATTTCTAAAAGAGCATTCATGGGTGGACATCTTTTTAAAGGCATACCTTTCAAAGATGCCCTTCCAGCTGTGCGTTTCTGGATGTGGTCATTACCTGGTGCCGAGTGATGGTCACGATCGCTGCCTCACGTGTCTGAGCGTTAAGCGCGCTGAGGTGGCGTTTGTGGATGAGTCATGCTCTCATTGCGGGAAAATGACTGTCGCGGAGTTGCGGACCAGGCTCGGTTTCCTACAAAGGGGTGGGGTGCCCGTGCCTCTGCCTAGAACTTGGGTTCCCCCTGGCGGCTTCTGGGGGGGGGGGGGGGCTACTTCTGGCAGTAGCTGGACTGGTCTTACGGTGACGGCTGTAGGTACTTGTTGGCCCTGACTGGCAGTGTTTATGCGGCCTGCGGAGAAGCTGCCTCCGCCCTACACGCTACGGCGTTGTTGCAGGTTCATCAGGCCAAGGCACTGAAGGACCTGCACGAGGGTGGGCACAACCCAGAAGTTCTTAAATAACTTTGCACCGCTACTGACCTCGTGCTACGGGCGACGAAGGTCTCTGTGCGGTCTCTGGGCCGTGCGATGTCCACTATGGTGGTCCAGGAACGCCATCTCTGGCTGTGTCTTGCCAACATAAGGGAGACCGATAAGATGCCGTTCCTAAATGCCCCCATGTCCCAGACAGGCACTTCGGAGACACAGTGGAGAACTTCGCCCAGCAGTTCTCCGCCGCACAGAAGCAGACCAAGGCCATCAAACACATCCTGTCCCAGTGTGCAGCTGCTAACTCCACCGGGCCGCCGGCGGCAGCACCTCAGTCTGCTTGTCGCCAAGGAGCCACAGCCCTATCACGCACCCACTGCCCGAATGCAGGTAAGTGTTGCACACACACTGACCCCACTTTGGACTGGCAATGAGACGCCCGGGCCGGGTCCCTGCGTTCCCCCTCGCTGCCCCACCGTGGGTACGTTGGTGGTTCCGTTGGTGCCACTTGTACAATATCTGGGAGCCTGGCTAGCGCTCCCCAGTCCGTCTCGTTGGCTCCTTCAGACCGGCGTCCTCCCAAGTTCAGGGGCATCCACTTTACTTCAATGAAGGTGGCAGATGCCCCTGTCTTGCGTGCAGAGATCACAGTCCTACTGGCGAAGGATGCGATACAGCCGGTCCCTCCAGCCGATATGAAGACGGGGTTTTTACCCAAGAAAGGCGGTGGGTTAAGACCAATCTTGGATCTGCGCGTCTTGAACCGGGCCCTTCAGAAGCTTCCGTTCAAGATGCTCACGTAGAAGCGCATCTTCGGGTGCATCCGTCCCCGAGATTGATTTGCAGCGATCAACCTGAAGGACGCGAACTTTCATTTTTCGATCCTTCTGCGTCACAGGTCATTCCTGCGGTTCGCGTTCGAGGGACGAGCATATCAGTACAAGGTCCTGCCCTTCTGGCTGTCCCTGTTGTGCCGTGTCTTCACGAAAGTTGTGGAGGCGGCCCTTGTTCGCCTGAGAGAAAAGGGCATTCGCGTTCTCAACTACCTCGACGATTGGCTCATACTAGCTCAGTCTCAGGATCAGTTGTGGGAACACAGGGACTAGGTGGTCTCGTACCTGGTCTTCGGGGTCAACTGGGAAAAGAGCAAACTCTCTCCGACGCAGAGGGTCTCTTTTCTTGGTATGGAATTGGATTCGGTCGAACAGACAGCACACCTCACGCAGGAACGTGCTCAGTCGGTGTTGAACTGCCTGAATATGTTCAAGAGCAGGACGGCGGTCCCACTGAAACAGTTTCAGAGGCTCCTGGGGCATATGGCAGCTGCAGTGGCAGTCACGTCGCTGGGGCTGCTTCATATGAAACCCCTTCAACACTGGCTCCATGGCCGAGTCCCGAGGTGGGCGTGGTAACACGCCACTCACCAGGTCAAAGTCACACCGGCCTGCTGCCAAACCTTCACCCCGTGGTCAGACCTTGAGTTTCTCCGGGCAAGAGTGCCCCTAGAACAGGTCTCCAGGCATGCTGTGGTTCACACGGATGCCTCCACCACCGGCTGGGGGGCCATGTTCGACGGGCTTGCAGTGTCGGGGGTTTGAATGGGCCCCCATCTGCACTGGCACATCAATTGCCTAGAGTTGCTGGCAGTACGCCTTACCTTGATCCGTCTCAAAGGGCGCTTACGAGGCAACCATGTTCTGGTCCGCACGGACAACACTGCAACCGTTGTGTACATCAACCGACAAGGTGGTCTACGCTCCCATCGCAACTCGCCCGCCACCTCCTCTGGAGTCAGAAGCATCTGAGGTCGCTTCGTGCCATTCACACGTCTACGAGACACGCTTACGCCTTGAAGTGGAACCTGTTCGTCGAGTGGTGTTCTTCTCACCGAGAAGACCCCCGGAGATGCCCGATCAGAGTCGTGCTGTCCTTTCTGCAGCAAGGGTTGGAGTGAAGGCTGTCTCCCTCCACCCTTAAAGTCTACGTGGCTGCGATTGCTGCCAACCACGTGCATAACTTTTTGCAATTTTGATGTAATTTCTAGTGAGAAATCAGTATTATAGTAATTAAATATTCGTTTAGTTATCATCAAAACTCGTTCTATTTTTTTGTAGATCATTAAACTGTTACATTGCCTGCAAAGTCAGCTGCCTAAGTTTTCAGATGCAGCCCCGATCTGAATAATGATTCACTTGACTTAGATAGGAGCGGGTTCGTGAATCTTTTGATTCAGATCGGGACTTCGGAGCAGGTTCACAAATCTTTTTTTTTATTTTTTTTATTAAACAGTACAAAACATTACCAATTAAGGCAGGACAGTTATAAAAACAAAACAAAGAAAAAAAGAAAGTATTCGGGACTTCGGAGCGGGTTCGTGAATCTTTTGATTCAGATCGGGACTTCGGAGCGGGTTCGTGAATCTTTTGATTCAGATCGGGACTTCGGAGCAGGTTCACAAATCTTTTTTTTTATTTTTTTTATTAAACAGTACAAAACATTACCAATTAAGGCAGGACAGTTATAAAAACAAAACAAAGAAAAAAAGAAAGTATACACAAACACAAATCCCTTAAAGGGGTCACATGATGCTTTTTTAAAGATCATTATTTTGTGTATTTGGTGTAACAGAATATGTTGACATGCTTTAATGTTAAAAAAACACATTATTTTTCAAATACACACACACGATGCGCAAATCTCCGCATTTGAACAGTCAATAGCAAATACTTAAACTAATAACAAAACAGTAGCTGATTCAGAAGCGCCAGATTGTCATAGCAAAGTCAGAATGACCTCCTCTCCTAGGTTCACGAAACGGTCGTCCATAAAATGCATTGCTGTTCTGTTGTAAGTCATCTTAAAGATTCCTAAATGCATCTACTTCTGGAAGGCCAAATAAAGTGCTTTTGCTTTCGCCTAGAAACACAGCGTCTCTCTGACATGCTGCTTCAACACTAACTGCGGTTACTGAAACCACGCCTTCTTTCTTTGCGTGCACATTTGGGTGGCATTATGCAAATATTTCCACATAGTGATGTAGATATGTGGGGGCGTGTTAGAACGAGCCGTTTTAGGGGGGCGTGGCAGAGTCTTAACTTTGATAAAGAATATCTCTTTGGTTTTGAGACTTTAGTCTTTGCAACTTCAGGGATCTTATCTATGCACAATCAGCTTGTAACACTCCAAAGAGAAAGCAAAACTTGAAATCACATCATATGACCCCTTTAAGAAAATTAACCATGGTTTTACAATAGTATATACTACATAGTATATAAATTATATAATCTAATGTAATAACCATATATATATATATATATATATTTTTGTAGAACCACAGTTTACTATAAGTACCTTTTTTCTTTTGAGTAAAACCATAGCTAATTTTCGTAAGAGATGTGTTGCCAGCTTAACAAAAAAGTGGTAAATTTAAACATTAAGAGGACACATAGAATGAATATAGAGATACAGTTTCGACTGCTTTAGGATTAAACTGTAGAAAGTTTCCATACACTCATCTAGATCAACTCTGAATAAAGAAAAGAGAGGTTTAGAGCCAGATTTTTGTTCATGTATGTGAAATTTAGCTAGTAGGAAACACAAATACAACAGATCAACAAACAATCCAAAGAAAACATCTTTCAAACAGAAAGAAAAGTCACGAAATGAGATTAGATGAACATTAAAAATATATTATATTTACATCTATAAGCTTTTGTTTGATCTCTTCATATTAAGGAGAGAACTGAATTCGTTTGTGATTGACAGACGGATGTTGTTGTTGTTGAGTTGATTTAGTTTTAATAATCTGCATTAATATAAACAAACGTGAGAAATCAAGCGGATATTTAACTACTAATGCCTCGTTGTCAAAGTTTGCTTCATTTTATTTGGTAAAGGTTGAGTTTCTGTGTTGACTTACCCGCAGATCTGCTGCTCCAGTCAGAGTCAGATTGATTTTCCCTTTAATGCCTGATGGGACGTTCAACATTTCAGACGATGAAACAGCGACACCCGCAGGCCTCCCATCGGCATTACAGAACAAAAACTGACCGTATAAATATTTCATTAATTATGATTTTCTCTTTATATTCCTAAAATATCACTGTTACCACTTTATAATAGCTAAAAAAATGTAGCATATTGTTTACATACACTGCTGACCTTCCTAATCATATGAGAAATGAGTATAAACTAGATTCCTGGTTGATTTTTCACTCGTCCTCCACAACATTTACTGGATCAGAGACTGTAAATGTTAAATATGAATAAATGCTCAGATACTACGCACACAGTATAGCAAACATCCATCTTCCCTGTTGAAAAAAACAGCATACGCTGGTTAGGTATGTTTTGACCCTGGCATGCTGGTTTATGCTGGTCCTTTTGCTGGTTTATGCTGGTCCTTTGCTGGTTTAAGCTGGTCCTTTGCTGGTTTAAGCTGGTCCTTTGCTGGTTTAAGCTGGTCCTTTGCTGGTTTAAGCTGGTCCTTTGCTGGTTTAAGCTGGTCCTTTGCTGGTTTAAGCTGGTCCTTTGCTGGTTTAAGCTGGTCCTTTGCTGGTTTAAGCTGGTCCTTTGCTGGTTTAAGCTGGTCCTTTGCTGGTTTAAGCTGGTCCTTTGCTGGTTTAAGCTGGTCCTTTGCTGGTTTAAGCTGGTCCTTTGCTGGTTTAAGCTGGTCCTTTGCTGGTTTAAGCTGGTCCTTTGCTGGTTTAAGCTGGTCCTTTGCTGGTTTAAGCTGGTCCTTTGCTGGTTTAAGCTGGTCCTTTGCTGGTTTAAGCTGGTCCTTTGCTGGTTTAAGCTGGTCCTTTGCTGGTTTAAGCTGGTCCTTTGCTGGTTTAAGCTGGTCCTTTGCTGGTTTAAGCTGGTCCTTTGCTGGTTTAAGCTGGTCCTTTGCTGGTTTAAGCTGGTCCTTTGCTGGTTTAAGCTGGTCCTTTGCTGGTTTAAGCTGGTCCTTTGCTGGTTTAAGCTGGTCCTTTGCTGGTTTAAGCTGGTCCTTTGCTGGTTTAAGCTGGTCCTTTGCTGGTTTAAGCTGGTCCTTTGCTGGTTTAAGCTGGTCCTTTGCTGGTTTAAGCTGGTCCTTTGCTGGTTTAAGCTGGTCCTTTGCTGGTTTAAGCTGGTCCTTTGCTGGTTTAAGCTGGTCCTTTGCTGGTTTAAGCTGGTCCTTTGCTGGTTTAAGCTGGTCCTTTGCTGGTTTAAGCTGGTCCTTTGCTGGTTTAAGCTGGTCCTTTGCTGGTTTAAGCTGGTCCTTTGCTGGTTTAAGCTGGTCCTTTGCTGGTTTAAGCTGGTCCTTTGCTGGTTTAAGCTGGTCCTTTGCTGGTTTAAGCTGGTCCTTTGCTGGTTTAAGCTGGTCCTTTGCTGGTTTAAGCTGGTCCTTTGCTGGTTTAAGCTGGTCCTTTGCTGGTTTAAGCTGGTCCTTTGCTGGTTTAAGCTGGTCCTTTGCTGGTTTAAGCTGGTCCTTTGCTGGTTTAAGCTGGTCCTTTGCTGGTTTAAGCTGGTCCTTTGCTGGTTTAAGCTGGTCCTTTGCTGGTTTAAGCTGGTCCTTTGCTGGTTTAAGCTGGTCCTTTGCTGGTTTAAGCTGGTCCTTTGCTGGTTTAAGCTGGTCCTTTGCTGGTTTAAGCTGGTCCTTTGCTGGTTTAAGCTGGTCCTTTGCTGGTTTAAGCTGGTCCTTTGCTGGTTTAAGCTGGTCCTTTGCTGGTTTAAGCTGGTCCTTTGCTGGTTTAAGCTGGTCCTTTGCTGGTTTAAGCTGGTCCTTTGCTGGTTTAAGCTGGTCCTTTGCTGGTTTAAGCTGGTCCTTTGCTGGTTTAAGCTGGTCCTTTGCTGGTTTAAGCTGGTCCTTTGCTGGTTTAAGCTGGTCCTTTGCTGGTTTAAGCTGGTCCTTTGCTGGTTTAAGCTGGTCCTTTGCTGGTTTAAGCTGGTCCTTTGCTGGTTTAAGCTGGTCCTTTGCTGGTTTAAGCTGGTCCTTTGCTGGTTTAAGCTGGTCCTTTGCTGGTTTAAGCTGGTCCTTTGCTGGTTTAAGCTGGTCCTTTGCTGGTTTAAGCTGGTCCTTTGCTGGTTTAAGCTGGTCCTTTGCTGGTTTAAGCTGGTCCTTTGCTGGTTTAAGCTGGTCCTTTGCTGGTTTAAGCTGGTCCTTTGCTGGTTTAAGCTGGTCCTTTGCTGGTTTAAGCTGGTCCTTTGCTGGTTTAAGCTGGTCCTTTGCTGGTTTATGCTGGTCTTTTGCTGGTTTATGCTGGTCCTTTTGCTTTTTTATGCTGGTCCTTTTGCTGCTTTATGCTGGTCCTTTTTCTGGTTTATGCTGGTCCTTTTGCTGGTTTATGCTGGTATTTTTGCTGGTTTATGCTGGTCCTTTCGCTGGTTTATGCTGGTCTTTTTGCTGGTTTATGCCGGTCCTTTGCCAGCACATGACCAGCATAAACCAGCAAAGGACCAGCTTGAACCAGCATCCCAGCGTCAACACATACCTAACCAGCATATGCTGTTTTTTTCAACAGTATAGCCTAATATTTTGATGTTTTGCTGTAGGCCTTTATAAGTGTTTTTTCTTTCTTTCTGAGGTCAAACTGAACTCAAACAGAAGCAATGAATAATTATACCTATTTTTTATGCTTACCTACTTTGTCATATAACAAAGTTTCATCAATAATATCTGTCTGATAGCCTATGTTTTGATAGGTTTGAGGAATATATTAAAATACTTCAAAGGGAAAATAATAGAAACCTTATGAAGTCAATCTCAACAGAACATTTAAATAATTGAAATTAGAAGTTAGAAATGTCATACAAGTTTAATATTTTTGATTTATTAAGTATTAATCTGTCGAGGGTTGGCTAATGCTCCACAAATGACAGTATCTACTGTAAAATACATCTAAAAGCTCATATACTTTTAATTTCACACTGTGAAAGTTGTGGGAAAAGGAGCAAATTATTAATATTGTTCAAAGCTCAAATTTCACAAGAACAATTTTATTAAAACCAATGCACAACACGAGCACAACTTACATTCAACAATATTGGTCTTCCAAAGATCTTGATATTTGTGATACTAATAACAGAAGTGGACCAAATCAAATGTCTTTAAATGTCAAATCGGGATCTTTTCTGTCAGCAAAAACAAATAAAAGTCGAAAATAATAAAGTGGCATTCAGTAGCATACATATTCTGACAGGTCATATCTATCTAATTCTGTAGTAGTATAAATATCTTAAAAGTGCGCACGGTTTATACAAAAAAAATGAGCTCTATTCATCAACACTTTTTACATTCCACATCTAACATAGATTCAACATTCAAAGGCACAGGACTTCACTTCAAAACGATCGAGTCAGAAAAGTAATTCAAGTAATCTTACATTGCAAACAGAGTTCGGTCGAAAGGAAACGATGGCACAGAATCGTGTTGTAAAAATTCAATACAATACTTCTAGAAGTGAATATACACAGGATTCATTTGTCATGTAAACGAGTAATTATGGGGAAATTAAGAGCAAATTATCAACTCTCTGCAGCTGCTTCCCAATGACGCCACTGAAATGATCCAGCAAATGATAAAACGCTGAACTGACCAAACAGATATTATGCAAGGTTTCAACATTTGTGGTTTATGATGGTTTTTCTGGAACATATTTTGGCACTTTGTAGTAGTTGACAAAGATCAGATATTGAGCATAAACATCAAAACCTTGCAAATATACCGAAAATCAATGTCTAACTTAATTTAATTTCTTACTAGGTGTAATTTTAAATACAGCACTAACCCAACGGGAGTAGATTAAAAAGATTAAAAAAGTAAAAATTGTTAGAAATAAAAGTAGAAATAACAGCTAATCAAAGTGCTGACTGAAATCACTAAAGTAGAGACGTATAGTAGAAAAGAATTAACAATCAAATTCCACTTGGCATAAAAATCCTTAAACACATCCAAAACGGAACAAAATAAAGTTGTAAAAAGGAAATATTACATGCTTTCTGACTTATGTAGAAAGATTGCATAATGATGATAATACCTCGGGACATCCAAAGTGCATATCCTTTTTTATTTTTTTCTCTTTTTTGTTTTTTGCCTTCGTCTGCGTTACTAATCTTATTTATAACTGAGTTGAATCTCACAAATATGAAAGTCCGTTTCCGCCATGGGATAAATAATGAAAAAAAGGTAATTGCTACATTTTATCTCAAAATTCATACTTTTTCCCTCACAATTCTGAGATAAAAATTCAACATTCACAGATATAACCTTGGAACTGCAAGATATGAACTCAGAATTCTGAGATAAAAACGTGCAATTCTGAAGGGCAAAAAATTAATTGCAACATAACAATTCACAATGATTTTTTTTAATACATAGTGAATAAAAATAAATACATAAAACACAAATGCAAAATGTAAACTCACAATTCAGAGAAAAAAAGGTCAGAGTTGCAAGACAAATGCAGAATTGATTGCTGTAAACTCAGAAAAAAGTCAGATTCTAATTTTATATATTTTTTTCAAAATTATGTTTATATATCGCAATTCCGAGTTCATATCTCACAGTGCTTTCAGAAGTTTTCAGAATTTCGCAAAAGTTTTCAAAATTGCGAGATAAAAAAATTGCAATTATCTTTCTAGTTCCATGGCAGAAACAAACTTCCACAAACAAAATCTGACATGTTCGGGTCATATTTTCCCCAAAAACAGAAGTTGCATATTGCAAATAAATAAATAAACAAAAAAAGATCATCATTATTTTTTGCAACATTTTAATGACACATTGTAATGCACTGTAATGCAAATAATAACGAATAATATATACATCATGATGTTGTACTGCCTTTTAGTTTATTCTGATAAAACACTATTACAGTAAAGTACAATGCCTGAAAACTGTCATACTGTCTGATTTTGGGGTGAAATGTGAGCTGGACATGTTTTCATGAGATTCACTCAGTCATTAAAGTGACCTATTGATGCTAACTGGAAAATTCTGACTGTTCTAACAAAAGAAAGAATTAAACAGAAACCGGGACGAATTGAAACGGTCCCTCAATACAGCAAATAAAACACTATATGCAATTTTTTTTTAATGACCTAAAGGTGTCTGTTATGGGTTTGAAAATAAATAAAGCTTATAAACTTGAAACACATCTTCACAAATTGATAATAGTTCATCACATTACAACACAAGCTATATTGCTGACATTTAGAAAACGGTTTTTTTCCTTCCTTTATTTTTCTACTTTTTAGGAAACAAATTAAAGAAAAAATAAACAAATTCTACTGTTCCTAATATTCTGTATGTTGCTCAAAAACAAAATATAGTCATATATATATATAAAAAAGTATATATATACATATATATTTTGCTTAAAATAAATTCCCTATTTTAAGGTTTACAATTAAAAAAATGCAAAAAGCTCAATGGCCCTAAAACAGACAGATATTTTTTTCTAAGCAAAATTTATTTTCCAGGTGAAATAAGCCCCAGATTGTTGTTTTGGGTTGACTTGAGCAGGGCGTTTTTGTGAGATTTGTGAGAAGATAACTGCTGGCTACAGTATCTCAGTGCAGTGTCATGACCTGTGTTCTCTTCCATTAAAACACTGTTTACTCGTTAACATGAGAAGCACATCAACAGAACACTAGATATAATTCAGATGTAAATCTCCCAGCGTGACATGAAGCCGTGTTTCTGATGCGACACAAACCCTCCTTCGTCTGCTGGAGTAAACGCAAGCCTTACAAATCTCTAGTTTGGAAATGAAGGAACGTAAAAGTGAAGTGGGAAGAGATCCGACATCAGTCTTTCTTCTCCTCCTCCGTGTCGTCTTCAGACTGTGCTCCCTTCTGCATGAGTTTCTCCAGCGTGGAGGAGGAAGAGGGAAGAACCTCCTGCTCGCCGTCCTCAGTCTTTCTCTTGGTGCTTTCCTGCACAAACTCCTGGATCTCCAGAGGAAGCCGCCGGAATTTGTCCTGGTATTCCTGATCCAGGTCGTTCTGGAGCTGCGAACACAGGGCAGAATATTCAAGTTACAGTCTACAGGAAATTCTTAAAAAAAAAGAAAAGTCAAAATCAAAATCAATACTTTTGTGTTCTATGAAAACAATACGTCCAAAATGAGTATTTATTGAAACAACTGCAAAAAAGCTTGATTTCAAACTCGCATCTGACAGATATCACTTTAACTGCCACATTTACACATCAATGACTCCTATTATATGTTTGGAAACTTTATCTGTCCAGTCACAGTGAAGTAATAAGGAGGTTAACTAACAATAAGACATTCATAAATGATAAAATGTAGAAAAGTGTATGAAAAAAGCAAATAGTCTGAGAGAGGGTGGAAAATCTTCCTGAAAATAATAATACTAATTTGACCATTTTTGGTGCAGAAAACCTTGACTAACATTATTAGAGGACTTCTAAAGGAAGAAAAATTCAACATAAATAATTAATGTGGGAAAAATCTATAAATAAGCAAATAACAGCCTGTTTAATTGTAACAGTCAGAGCGAGAGCGGTAAATGAGCCTGAAAAAAATGACAAATTAAAATATTAAAAAATAATACTTATAAATTTAAAATAAATTTTAAGCAAAAAAAAACTTGACTAACATTATGAGAGGACTTCAAGAAAAAAATAAATAAATGATAAAAGTCTATGAAAAAAACAAACAAACAAAACAAACAACAATCTGTTTAATAACTATAATAATTGAGTCAGAGAGAGAGGGTGGAAAATGGTCCCAAAAAATAAATTAATACATTTGATCAATTTAAATGTAATTTAATAACAAACCTAAATATATCATAAATAAATGTATCATAATTTTCAAAATAAATTCAGTGCAAACACCCTCACTAACATTATTAAAGGACTTCAAGAAATGGAAAAAAAAACCATGAATAAATAATAAAAGTTGGAAATGTCAAAGAAAAAAAGCAAATGCTTAATTGTACGAAGTGAGTGGGTGGAAAATCACCCTGAAAAAATGAATTTGATAAATATAGGTATAATTTCATAATAAATCTAAAAGTATCATACTTTTAAAACAAATGTAATGATACATTAAAAATAAATTTGGTGCAAACAAACAAACAAAACAAACTAGACGAACATTATTAGAGGGAAAAACATCAGATTGAAAGAACAAAATACTACTATAATAATAAGACCCCTGTGTAAACATCATCATTGTGAAAGTGCACTAATGGTCATGCAGCATTTCTTCTCTCATAAAGTGCAAATGTGGTGCGGTTCCGGTTCGGTGGGTGAATGTGTGTCTGTCTGACCGCAGGAGACCCTCAGAGTCGATGGCATGAACGCTAATGTGACACGGGACAGTATTGACAGATACGGATCGATATCCACTAATGCTGCGGCAGATCCAGGCCGTTTAGTGCGGCAGCGCTCGGGAATCACAAATAAACACATCAGTGCAGAGATTTCACCATATCACTCCTGTTATGCACATAAAACACTGAATCTGGAGAGTTACTGTATATGCATACAAGCTCAAAACTATATCATTCACAAGCTCAGGGCTTATAGGACAAGAGTCTTGACTTCATGCAATATGATTGGTCAGTTCCGATGAGTGACAGCTCACAGGCCAATCAAAACGCGGCAATCGAGAGAGTTAGAGTCAGATCTGTACTGTCACTGAAAAGCACATTTTCTCTGTTTCGGAGTTAGGATCCACACTAAAAATGTGCCAGATGATCACAGTGAAATTCTCCAGGAGAACAGCAGCTTCAAATTGAAATACTCCTGACAGCTTATGAAATATTTCAAGCATTTAATATTTGAAGGGTCAGCCCTGAATGAACAGTTTGTCATCGTTCCCTCATGTTGTTATAAACCTGCAGAAGGTCTTTAACAGGACTTTCAATGATGACTGAATTGTCATTAACCCTATAAATCTACTGTATCATATTTGATACATAAGGCCTTTAAGTGATCAACATCAACTCAATCATCATTGTACTGCATTGCATTATATGTTTGGACCATTTAATCTCATCTCACTAAGACATATTATTGGAGATATAGAGCAGGGATGGGCAACTTTTAGTGCGGTCCGCTGGATCTTGATTATGGATTATGGATTTTTGAAAATTACCTTTCATGCAGTGTGTAACACAACTCTAAGTGAATGAAAACATCCTGCAAAGTTTTAAATCTGAAAGTGCACCGTGTATAAAGTTATTGTCTCTCAAAAGAAAGAGTCGAATCTGAAACATTGAAACGAGTCGTTTTTAAAACGAATCCCAAGCCATTTCATGTTGATGTCAATATGAAATATGAGCATATTGCACGCTCAGACCCGGAAAAGCTTGAAAATGCAAATTCATTCTTTGCCACTAGGTGCCGCTTTTGGAGCAGTAAAAATATATGTTTCCCCGGTAACGCTGTTGATGGAAAAATGTATCATCAAGCGAATCGTTTGGGAGTCGTTGAGCAAGTAAGGTAAAAATAAATGCATATTATAAGTAGTGGTCGACTGATAATTGTTTTTTTTGACAGCCGATGCTGATGCCGATATCTTGGAAAGCAGGGTGGCCGATGGCCGATATAAAGCGATAATATCTTATAAAGATATAATTTTATTTATTTTAATTAATATTTAAGAAATTTGAAATAATTTGAAAATTGATTAAAAAATAAATGTGTAAAATAAACATACTTATACTTTAGATGACAAAGTATTTTTCACAAATAAATAAATATTTAATTAGAATATAATTAAAAAGGAAGTAAACAACCAACAGGGAAGTTTGTGTGCATTAATCATATTTTTTCAAATAAAGCCAAGTTAACACTCATTTTACATACAGCACACAGTGAAAATTACATGAATATGACAGTGGGCAAAAGCATGAAGCGCAGCATAATTAAAAATCACGAGTTTAAAGTTTGTCGATCGCGTCTCCAGTGAAGCTGAACTCTCCACCTGTCCGCATTCAATTCACACGGATCGACCGTCACGCAGAGAACACGCCATCATGCAGGATACACATGCACACTTCACAAGATCTCACAGCTTGATCCGACTAAGTTTGCAAGGTTTTTGAAATTAAATGTGGATTAGTCATTCAAAGATTTGTTTAAATGATATGAATACGTATTTGCTGAATGCTGACTACAAACAAGAAAGTATTATAATGTTTGCCTTTCTATTACTAATAATATAAAAGCAATTGTTATAAGACTTTTTGTATACATTTTACTTTGTTTGTTTAACCGTTCTATCTGATTATTAGACAGACTTCAATCTGTATTAGACAGAACTGTTAACAACAACAGCGAACAAGTGTGCGCCTCACGGTGTACTGCCATTCTCAGCGCCGTCAAAATAAAAGTCCCGCATCGAATGCATCGGCCAAACAGGAAAAATTATCGGCCGATGCCGATATTTAAAAAAAAAAAGCCAAATATCGGCCGATATATCGGCCTTGGCGATATATCGGTTGACCACTAATTATAAGACAATGAAAGTGTTTTTTTGACCTTGCATGCTAACAACTTGTTGTTGGGGGTTCCCCCAAACCAAAATACGAATCTTTCATAACCCATAATAGGGGCACTTTAAAGTTTCCGCAGGTCCTTAAAATGTCTTCAGTTTAATTGTTTAAATTTAAGGCCATGAAAACTCTTAAATGGTACAAAAAGTCTTAATTATAAGAGGTCTTAAATTTGGGGACGGAAAGACAAGAATTGCTATATGGATTAATATGACGATTAAACTTCAAAAGGCTACGATTTCACTGAATAAACTTGAGCGCTGCACGTTTCAAAGTCGTGTAGTGTACAGCTGTTACTGGAAAACCGCTATATTTATGCGGTTCCGAAAGTGAAACCTGCTGGCAGAGAATGAATTTGCATTTTCAATAAGACCGTCTGCTATTTTTGCTACATATTTTTTAAATGTGAACCAGTGGATCGACAAAAATCTAATGCATTATAAAAATCTAAACAATTAAGACACTAAGATATATTTATTTGTTATTTAACATAATAATTAATCGAAAATAATTGTTTAAATTAATATAATAATTGATACTTTTAAACTTGATTTTAAAAATCCTGCAGATACCAGGGTATTTTATGGTACCATTTGGAATAACTATTTTTTTTAATAAGCCCTTTTTAACTGTCCTCTTAGGTTGTTTTGAGAATGTTCTGTAGGCCACTAATAAAAAATGACCTCTGTACATTTGTTTGTTGCAAATTTACAGACAATGCAATTGAGACTTGTTAGGGTAATATTTCTGTCCACTGACAACAAAGTTTCCCATCTGAATTAGCATAACTGCACACAAGTTTTATAGTTAATAAAATCTTTAAAAACTTTAATTTCCTTCAATAAAAAGGAAATTGGGTAAGACGGTGTAAAAGGTGTGGACGTGGATTAGTAATCTGGCCCCTTGCTATAAAGGAGAAAAAGTTGCCCATCCCTGATCTACAGTATCATGATGCAACAAACTCCAAATCTCATTGGTCAGCACTCACTTTCACTAGATGAGTTCTGCTCCAATAACAATAACAGTGATAATAATCATCTGCTGTGTTCATTTATGTGACATTAAAGGGTTACTCCACCCCAAAAGCTTCGTTCGTCTTCGGAACACAATTTAAGCTATTTTGGATGAAGACCGGGAGGCTTGTGACTGTCCCATTGACTGCCAAGTAACTTACACTGTCAAGGTCCAGAAAAGTATGAAAGACATCGTCAGAATAGTCCGTCTGCCATCAGTGGTTCAATCTGAATTTCATGAAGTGACGAGAATGCGTATGCTGTTCTACTTGTCACTACGTGTCTGCTGCGCCACACGGATACGCTGTTTTCGTTCAAATCAAAGCTTAAATAAACATAGAAAACGTATCCGTGTGGTGCGGCTGACACAGACAAGTAGAACAGCATACGCAGTTTACGTTCAGTGGACACTCTTCAAAATGGTGCTACGGTGACACAGAGGAGACGAATTGTTGAATAAAGTCGTTACTTTTGTTTTCTTTGCGTACAAAAAGTATTCTCATCACTTCATGAAATTCAGATTGAACCACTGATGGCAGATGGACTATTCTGACGATGTCTTTCATACTTTTCTGGACCTTGACAGTGTAAGTTACTTGGCAGTCAATGGGACAGTCACAAGCCTCCCGGTTTTCATCCAAAACAGCTTAAATTGTGTTCCGAAGACGAACGAAGCTTTTACGGGTTTGGAACGACATGGGGGTAAGTGATTAATGACAAAATTTTCATTTTGGGGTGGAGTAACCCTTTAAACTCCAGCTGAGGGGACAGACAGAAATCTGATAATTTCGGCACTTTTTTTATTAGTTATTGAGGTAAAACACAGTAAACACTTACCTTGGGTTTCTCGTCTAATATCTGTTGCAGGATGCTCTTATGGGTTTCTACCAGCTTCTCGTGTCTTTTAGTCTGAGCGTCTTCCAGCTAGTGACAGAAAACACAAACAGTGTGAAGTGTGAAGAGTCATATTTGTTCTGGTTTTGATGGTGAGAAATGGAGAAAGTGTTTCACCCTCTTGATGTGCTGCACCACCTCGTTCACATACGACCTGTTGATCTCCAGCTTCTCCCTGAAACCAGACAGAGACTCTTACAGTGTCATGTGAGGCGTTTAACAGTGTTTTATTGCCATCTAGAGGACAGTTTTATAAAGAATAATAAAAATCTCTCTATTCCGTTCCTTTAATTGCCTCCCAGAACCTTAATAAAAAATAACCTGAAAATAACCTTTTTTTTCTCTCTCTCTCTAAAGAGGTTCTCATTTAGTTAGAAGATGATTATTTTATATTAATATATATCATATAATATAAAGTGTCTTTCATTTATTAATGTTTTTGTAATATCCATACACATATACAGAAAATATTATTATAATATTCTTAGAAGATTTTTATTTAAAATTAAATCCAAATATATTATATAATTTGTTGTTACATATAATATATTAATCATATATAATAGATATTAAGCAAATATATATATATATATATATATATATATATATATATAATACATTTATTTTTATGTACACATTCACAGAAAATAATAGAATAGAATAAAACCATGACAGGGTCATTTCAAATAAAATGTAAATATATAAAATAGTGCAAAATGTATATATATATATATATATATATAAACACACAACACACATGTACAATTCTTTATAAATCTTTATCTTTACATTATTTATATTACCAATTAATATTATTATCAAATGTAGTTTACCAGTAGTGTTTTTTTTTGTATTTACCATAAGTATTTTAATATGGTTTAGAGGCCGAATATGCTTCAATATACTCATCTACAACCAAAACATAATCTGGTACACAAAATAAGCATGATGATGAGCAGAAGAAGTCTTACTCTTCTGTCAGGTGTTTCTCCTTGGACTTGGCTTCACTGATCTTCTCTTGTCTCTTCTTGTCCATTTTCTTTTTCAGCTCTTTCTTTTCTCTGCAAACACAGACGGGGCAGCGAGGGTGACTCGACATGAGCTTATGAATGATTAAAGAAGCCGGTGATATTCATAACAGACTCACTTCTCACACAGCTCCTTGATTTTCTTCATTTGGTTGCTCCGACTCTCCTCAGCGATGGCCGTCAGCTTCTCGATCACCTGCAGACACAGCATTTCACTTTCAGACCGATTCATTTAAAACAAACCATGAAATGTTTTCTAAAGCTGGACATCAGAAATGCTTAAATAATTTAGATCTGATTTCTCACATAAAATAAGTCAAATACAGCCTCTCTCAAGGTACACACATCTTTAATATTGCACACTTGGTTGAATAATTTTTTTATGTATATTAACATTAAGTATTTTTCTTATATTAACTAACGTACTCTACGATTAGCTCAGTGAATAATAAAAAAAAACATAGACCCGGCTAGAACAAGCGGAGGGATACAAAATTGTGAAAACCAATCAGATTTGAGAACCAGAATGAACTGTTGTGTATATATATATATGTATATATGTAGAGAGAGAGAGAGAGAGAGAGAGAGAGATTACATTAATTATTATTTATATTATATCTATTTTAATTACCTAATATTTTCCCACACACTACACACAGATACACAATTAATATTTATAAAACGGAGAGTTCCGGTGCTTGATTCTGATTGGCTGAGCCACGTTCGAAGCAACCACAACTGTTTCTGAGGAACTACATTGTTTGGTGGAAGAATAATGTTTTTATTAATATCGTTACATTTTATTTGCTCTGTTTTATTCTGTGAAACCTTACTACGTGTATGGAATAACCGTTTTATTAAAGCAATAAGCTTATTGCTTATTAAAGCAATAAAATGATTGCTTTAATAAATATCCGAATATTAATAATATTATCAATTAATACTATTTTTGAAACAAGAAACACACTTTCTGAATTATTTTCATACATGCATTACATTTCTGTATTGTTTTACATTTTCCAATTTTAATATTTAAATTAGATTTTAAAATCATTGCCATGGTTTGATTATTTCGCATTGTATTTGATATATTTACTCTTTTTTTCAATTAAAAATGTAACTCTTTAAAACTCTTTAAAACCGAAAACTCTTTTTTTTCTCAGTAATATGTTTTTCTCGATTTGCATGTGTACTCGGACCTGTTTGATGTGCTCTTTCTTCAGATATTTCTCGCTGTAATACTGCTCCTGACGCAGATTGAGGAGCTGCTGCTGCTGCTGTTCTTTGAGTTCAGAGAGTTTCTGTCCGCTGTCCTGATCCAGATTGGCCAGCTCCTGCTCGAAGAACGAGGCTCCGTGTTCAGGACTGGACGACAAACACCTATGTGTCCCTGCAGCACAAAAGCAGTGTTAAGTCGCTGGGGGATATTTGTAGCAATAGCCAACAATACATTGTATGGGTCACAATTATACATTTCTCTTTTATGCCAAAAATCATTAGGATATTAAGTAAAGATCATGTTCCATGAAGATATTTTGTAAATTCCCTACCGTGAATATATCCAAACTTAATTTTTAATTAGTAATATGCATTGCTAAGAACTTAATTTGGACAACTTTAAATGCAATTTTCTCAATATTTAGATTTTTTTGCACCCTCAGATTCCAGATTTTCTAATAGTTGTATCTCAGCCAAATATTGTCCGATCCTAACAAACCATACATCAATTGAAAACTTATTTATTCAGCTTTATTCAGGTTTTGTGGTTCAGGGTCACCTATGTGCATGCTAAGGGAAATGTTGAGTCTATTGTATTTTTTTTTTTAAAGTGCTTTTAGTATATTGGTCTTGTTATAATGTGTTGTGAAGCCAAAGACAAATTTTCCCTTGTGGACAATAAAGGAAAGGAACAGTTCTCCTGACGTTCCTCCTCTCAATCCCAACAGTGATTGGATCAGCGGACGTCTACCTACCTCTTCTTACCGTCTCGTTTGGCAGACTTCAGCAGGACGGCTCGTTTGCGCAGGTAGTCGTGCTGGAACTCGTTGTATTTGGCCGTGTGCTCCTTGATCATCTCGGTGGTCTTCTTGTGGTGTTTCTTCACCAGGTCCTTCATCTCTTTATAGTGTCGTCTCTGCTCTCGGACGAAGCCCTTCTGCTGTTTGAGCTCCTCGACGGTCTGCGCCTCCATCTCTGAAACAGAGGTTTCATGGACTGTAAAATTAGATTTTATAATATCACCACCACCTCCATATTTTATGAACCTTTTCCGAAGCTCATGTCGATGGATTTTCAGAAGCTGTACATCAGAAACGTTTCAATAATGTACAGTGTATTCAAATGACTGAAACTCAACGGCTACCTGATAAAACACAACCTGTGGCTGTTTGTGTTTTTTTTATTTCTCACATTAAATAAGCAAAATACAGCTTCTCTGAAGATACAGACATAATTTATATTGCACACTTGAATGTGCAATATTTTATTTGTTTCTGTATTTTTAGCATTTTAATATATTTTGATCTTATATAAAATAAGCTGTCATGGTTTGTTTATTAAATTTTTTGTTTTTGTTTATGTCCACAGAAACATACATTTAATATATATAGACATACATACTTAATATATTAACATAATATAATATAGCCATGTTATTTTTATATAACATTGCTATATATACACACACACACACGCACACACACACACACACACACACACCTAACATATTAATATAAATAATTTTATATAAACAATATAATATAATGTATCTAAATTTTATATATATATATATATATATATATATATATATATATATATATATATATATATATATATATATATATATATATATATATATATATATATATATATATATATATATATATATATATATATATATATATATATATATATATATATATATATATATATATATATATATATATATATATATATATATATATATATATATATATATATATATATATATATATATATATATATATATATATATATATATATATATATATATAACTCATATGAAAATATTTTAGATTGTTATTCATTTAAAAAACAACAAACAAATCAACAAACAAATAATATTGTATATAATAATATATTGTATATAATAATGTAATATAAAACTAAATAATATTGTTTTATATATCAAACTAAATTATACTGTATATTACACAATGCCATAAAAAGTATAATAAAGTAAAATAAAATGTTATTTTTTAAATAACCTGCCATGGTTTGTTTTAGCCTCTTTTTTCTGTATATGTGTATAGAAAATACATTATAGTTCTGTATTCTTTTTTATTTTTATTAATTTTAATTGACTATGTTGTCATAGTTTGTTTATTCAATTATGTGTATTATTCTTTTATTCTATGTGTATTATTACAAAATGAATTAATACAAAAAAGTAAAAAATAAAAATAATACAATGTAATTTAATTAATCATATAAATTAAAATGATATATTACTTCATATTAAAATAAAATGACAGAATAAACAAGTCATTTCAAATTGTGATGTTACTGAATCAAAACTCTTTGAAAGTTTGGAGTAGTAAAAAGCCATTCGGTTGCTGACCTGTGAGGACGCTCTGAATCAGATCTTCAGTCTTTGCCGCTGGTTTGGTTGAGCCTGAATCACAACGGGATAAAATCTCATCAGATAAGATTCATGCATATCCAGTAATACTCCTCAGTTTTGTGGACAGTAGGTTTGGATTAGCAGTGGACGGTATGGGTTTATAGCTCAGTATCAGCTGAGATGATGCTGTGTGAAGCTCTGACCTGTGGACTGCGGCTGTGGGCTGATCTGGGACGCGGGTTTCGGAGCGGCGCTGGGTGCGTGACTCAGGCCGTTCTCAACCGGGACGGGTTTGGGTTCGCTTTTAACCTCCGAAGGGTTTTCAACACCAGGATCCACCTGGAGGACAACACACTTCATCATCAAAACCTCCAATACTGTTCAGTTTCACAGCGACAGAATTCATTACAACGACTTCATTCATCAGTAAATGAACGAGTGATGTGATTAGAGTTCAGATGGAGTAATTAGTGAAGTAATCTGAGCTGCTGTCTGATGGTCATATTCTATCTGAGCTCTTCAGCGCTGGAGATCTGGAGACGTCTCTACCTCTTTGGTGTCTTTCTCCTCTTCTCCCTCCTCTAGAGTGAGCGCCGCCAGCTGTTTGGATCTCTGCTCCATCAGGTTGACGTATCTGATGGGGTTGGACAGCGCTTCGATGACGTCTGATCAGCACAGGAACACACACCGTTAGTCAGTCCCTGCAAACTCACAACACACTCCAGTCCTGCAGCTTCCACTTCAAAAGCATCAAGAAATTCAAAAATGTTATTTATGAAATAGGATTAACAGCATTTGGTTAACAATTATAACTTTTTTCACAATATTTTGCAACTTCAAACCTTTCAAAAAGCATCCAAAATAATAGAAAAAGAAATTCAGAAATATTACATTTGATTTCATGTGACATTTGCGTTTTAGTTAACAATTATAACTTTTTCACAATTAAAAATAACATCCAAAATAATAGTAAAATACATTTTAAATATATTATTTTTGATTTTATATATGACTTCAGCATTTAATTTAGTAAATAATTAACAGTTTCTAGTTAACAATAACTTTTTTACAAAAAAAAGTCTTTAAACATTTAAACCTAAAATAATAGCCAAGTAAATAAAAAAAAAATTATATTTCATTTTATATATGACGTTAGCATTTTAGTTAATTATAACTTTTTCAATTTTTTTTCGACTTAAAAATCTTTAAAAAAAAACAAACATCTAAAATAGTCAAATAGATTTAAAAAATATTATTTTTGATGTTATATATTATTTCAGCATTTAAATTAGTTAATAATTAACAGTTTCTAGTTAACAATAACTTTTTCACAATATTTTGCAACTTTAAACATTTAAAGCATCCAAAACAATAGCCAAAGATATTATATTTAATTTGATATATGACTTTAGCATTTTAGTTAACAATTATAACTTTTTCCCAATTTAAAAAAACATCCAAAATAATTTTAAATATATTATTTTTGATTTTATATATGACTTCAGCATTTAATTTAGTTAACGATTAACAGTTTCTAGTTAACAATAACTTTTTCACAATATTTTGCTACTTTAAACCAGTCAAAAACATCCAAAATAATACCCAAAGAAATTACAAGATATTATATTTGATTTTATATACTGTATGACTTTAGAATTGATATAATCTTTAACAGTATTTTGCAACTTTGAAACTTTTCAAAAAACATTCGAAATAACATAATAGATATTATATTTGATTTAATATATGACACAGGATTTTTTATTTAGTTATCATTAAATAATTATCAGTTTTTACATAACAATTATAACTTTTTCACAATATTTTACAACTTCAAAATAACTTTTACATGATATTAGCATTGGTTTGCCTCTTTTTATTTGCTCATACATGCGTAATATCTGAAGCTTCAGTACACGTGGAAACCCTTAATTTAAGAGACATTTCGGAAAATATTGATTTCTTGGCATAGGTAATATCATCTTTTAAAAAAGTCAAAAATCACCTTAATTAACATAAACAAAGAGTTATATTCAACATTCTCTAATGAAGAACTAAAAGTCTGACTATTATAAACAATTATTTGATCTAATTTACATCAAATCAAACATCTGACATCTTCTGTTGGGTCTATATCACTTTTGATAGAATATTCAAATGCATATTTGCATATTGAATGGATGATGCCTCATTTGTAACTTTAACAGTTTACATAAATGAAGTCACTTTGTTTTCACGTGACTTTAATAAAGCAACATTTCTTTTCTTTTTTTTAATTAAAGAAAATGACAAATTTGGAAAAGCTCCTCACAAAAAACACTGTGGTACAGGGAAGGTATCAGACGGTAATACCACGGTACTTTGATATATACCATAGTACTCAATGATTTTCAGTCATAATTCACACCAAAATAAATATGCGTCACATATTTGGTAAATAATTCAAAGAAGGCTGATGGTAATTGTTTTTGTACGCAAAATGTGATTCCTTAATTATGATCCACTGTTATATTTACCATGGTATTCATATGCTACTGCTACTGCGAGGTTATTTCACAGCACACCACAGTAATACTATGGTACTTTTAGTGTTTTTTTTTTTTTACAGTGGCAGATCCTAAAAGAGAATTAAAGCTGTTTCAGGTGGCAGATGATTATAGTAATTAATTTCTTACCGGCGAATGTATCAGGAACATAATCTTTCACCTCGATATACACAAATATAGCAGGAAGAGTCAGCGCTTGATTCTTTTCATTTCTCAATCCGATGTAACGATAACCTGTGAGAATATGACACAATTATGTTTTAGCAAATAAAAGAAAAACGTTTAACCAAACCTGCATTTTCATGTCGCAAAATGTCTTGTAATAATACAATACAATGCCATTTTTATGTTGCAAAATAATAGTAATAACAATACTGTAAATTCTTATTAGTATACTAAAATTCTAAATTAAAATGCTAAAAACACATGAAAGTAAAACTATATCTGCATTTTAATATTGTAAAATGTATTGTTAATAATAATTAAAATAATAATAATAATACATTACTATTATTAATATATTAAAATAATGTAATCTTAATAACTGTAGTCTTAATAACAATGCTAAAAAGCATAAAATCAAAATATAAACTGAAATCATAGTTTATTTCCCCCTCACAATACAATACTATAGAAGCACAACTATAATAATAACAATAATAAATTAAAATAATCTAGCACTAAATTAAATGCTAAAAAATCACATAAAATCCAAACAAACTGAAATCATTTTTATATTCCCTCACAGTAAAAGAAAAGAAAAAAGTACAACATAGCACATAAAACAAAAATGCAAACTGAATAACTATCAATATACCTTCTCTTACTCTTTTTTTTTTTTTAATTGAAGAACAATTCTTGAATCACAATAGATCGCAACTCAGCAATTTTATGCGTTTTGTGTGTTTTTCCTCTTTATTACAAGTTATACATCAGAAGGCATGAAAAAAAACAGTATAATGAAACGAATGTACTCATTGTAATCGAAAAGATGATTGATTCTCATGCCGCTTTAACTGAGGCGAATACAGCGATCTGTCACGTCACATTAAAGAGACTCAGCAATTTTATGCGTTTTGTGTGTTTTTCCTCTTTATTACAAGTTATACATCAGAAGGCATGAAAAAAAACAGTATAATGACACGAATGTACTCATTGTAATCGAAAAGATGATTGATTCTCATGCCGCTTTAAAGACACATTAAAGAGCATGAAAAACACATTATTGTAAGACATATTGTTTGTATTTCGCTATAAAACTGACAGAATTTGAAAGCCGAGGCTTTGTTTTATATCAAAAGTGCCAAAAGCACAAAGGTTATTGCTTTGAAATGCAATCGAAGACGTGAAGTATTATTTCCAAACATACTGTCCCTGCGAGTATATGACACATGCTATGATTTCTGCTATTAATCCAATATACATTCAAATAAGTTGCCAGGCCACTGGAATTTCTCCCGGGGCTCCCAATCCGGGCCATTTGCATGCACAATACTCTCAAAATATTATAACTTTAATCTCGTAATTGCTACAGCTTAATTCTCGTATTTTGACTTTATTCACAAAATATTTTGACTATATTCCCGCATTGCTACGACTCGAGTAATTTTTCGTTTTTTTCTCAAAATATTATCATAATTATTATTTAAAAAATTAAAATAATACTTTTTTTATTATACGTAAAAAATTTTTAACGTGGCACTAAAACGCAAATTATTGTATTATTGTTGCTTTTGTTAAAATAATCAAAAGATGGTCACAAGATAAATATTCAGATTTTTTCCCCAGTAGTCTGTTTTATTCAAACAATTATGAATTATTTGCATTTAGATACATTAGAACTTTACCTAATATGTTGAATATTAAAAACAATGAACAAACAAAATCTGGATCTCCATGTCTGCCATGCAAGTCAACTGTTCCTGCTCATCTCCAGCCTGGATCTCTTCTCTCCACTTTCCCTAATTGCAGATTCAATTATTAAATCTGTCAGGATTAATATTTTTATACTTAGATGTTTTTGGGGGATCAAACTGTAACACCGTGTGTCCCAACCAGACACGACACGATAAAAAGTATATGTTCCATGTAGTTTTTGTCCTAACCACCTGCAACAGCGACACGTGACAATAAGCGACACGGAATTCTATTTTAGAAATGTTTTTTATTTTCTGTGACGACGCGGCAGGAACAACATACAAAATATGACAGTGATAATCTGCGGACAAGTAGTAGGATGATTAGAAAGGACGAGTTTGGAGACTTCTGCCTCAGAGAGTGGAGAGAAGGATGTGAACGGGTGTATGATGTGCTTGACAGATTGTGGTGTGGAAAATTGTGCACTGATGGTTTTAATTTTATTAATGAAGAACGTGGCAAAGTGGTTAGCTGTTAGAGTTGATGAAGGAGGCGGAAGAGCAGTCCCGGACTGGCCATGGGGAGCACCGGGAGAATTCCCAGTGGCCTGGCGGCTGATTTGATTCCATCAAACGATTCCAAACAGAATCGATATGCGGGACTCGATGAAAGAGAGGAAGCGGCTAGAAGAAGCAGTGAAATGTAGCAACATCACTGACCTGTTCAGGGCTTCCATTGCAGGTCAGTTTCATCTGTATATATGCTAGATAATTGTGTCTTTATTAACGTAGCTGAGTATTAAACTGCTAGTATCTATTCAGTCAGATGATCAGTCAGAATACTGGGCTAAAGTACATCATTATCGTTTGTAAAGTTACATAAAAATTTTTAGCAGAGACAGATATTCACATGGATTTATTGTACAGGGAGGGAGGGAGCTAGAGCAGACAGCAGAGTCACAACCTAATAATGCAATAGTATGTTCAGTATTAAGATTTTTCAGTAAATATAGGCTATTGTACTAATTTTGACATTTAGGCACTTTAGAAAATGTGTTTTAATATTTTTTGTTTGTTTGTTTGTTTGTTAAATAGGGCATTTAAGTAATTTTAAGATAAATAACATTCTGTGCTAACAAATTGAAATGAGGTGGCTGTTTTCAAAAAAGTAATGTTTACTACTTTTTTTAATACTATACTTTTATTAGAAAAACCACGACTGATGTTGATGTTTTTTTCTTTGTTTTGTTTTGGTTTGATGTTCAATTCCAATTATAAATTATATCATTTTATTGGATTCTTTTCGGAACAAAAACTAATTTGGCCATCAAAATTGAACATAATTTTAAATAAAAAATTAGATCATTTTATAGTATTTTTTTTCTGGATCAAAAACTAATTTGGGCATCAAAATTGAACAAGGTCATATCTTTATGGTATTTTTATGGAACAATTTGGGCATTAAAACTGAACAACTTTAAATTATACAATTTTTATAGTATTTTTATGGAACAAAAACTAATTTGGGTATCAAAATTGAACATAATTTAAATTATAATAATATAGCTTTTATGGTATTCGTCTGGAACAAAAGCTAATTTGACAAAATCAAAATTAAACCTAAATTTCAATTAAAAATGACAATTTTATAGTATTTTCCTGGAACAAAAACTAATTTAGGCATCCAAACTGAACATAAATCGACACTAAATACAACAACAACAACAACAAAAAACTTGTGGAAATACATCAATCACTGATTGCACAGCAATAATGCATTGCAAATGAGTTTCCTGCTGCTTAAGGTTTTGGCAACAGTCTCATGTTCCATAAAAGCTATTAATGTTTTGAAAGCAGCTTTTGAGGAAGTCGAGCTGTCAAACGTCTAACCTTCACTGATAAGGTGTTGGCAATGATGCCGTCCACAGTGCTTTCTGTGAAGGGGTCGAAGTGCTTGTCCGGTCGTCTCATGAACTCTGGTTTGAGTCTGTAGCCGCTCTTGCCGTTGTACTCGTACATGCCGAGGTTCAGCTGCATGGACAGATCTGAGAGAGATGAGAGAAAATCAACAGCTATAAAGTCTGATTTCAGTGGACATTTCATATTACAGCATATTTGTCATAAGCCTCTCCCAGAGCGTGTTCATTATTCATCATCTCACCGATGGTCTGAAAGTTGAGTGCTATGAGCTGACAGCCGGCGTTCCAGAAGACCTGCGGCATGTAGTTGGAGGAATCCACGCGCGTTCCTTTAGGATAAATCCTGCTCAGCTGAAACTTGTTGTATCTACATGCACACGGTTAAGGGAGCGTCATAACGAATTACACCGATAAATCAATAAATCATGCACCTCCATCACAACCAGGACAGACATGTGTGATCATCACCACAACATCACCTTACAAAACATTAAAGAGGTTGCATTTTTCAGAAATACTTTTTTCATAGACAGATTTATTTTCTTTATTTTATAATTGTATTTTAATATACTTTCCAAAAAAAAAAAAATCTACTTAATCAATTTGGCTGATTTATCTCCTAGTGTTGCTACTGCTGACTAAAACTAAAACTATTAAAATAAAATAAAATATTAAATTACAAACTTCAAAAAAATTCAAATTTACTAGAAATTAGGGGGAAAAATATAGACATTAGAAAAATGAGGAATTAGAAATATTGCCTTGGCATCTCACTGAAATAAAACATTATTATTTGTGTATATACTTTATTTAATTTATATAATGTATTTAGTATGTATTTAAAAAAAATTACAATATTTTGTGTTTTTCTGCAAGAAAAATTGATTTGGGCATCAAAATGGAGTTTTTAAATTTAAATGATAAATGATATTATTTGTGTAGTTTTTTTTCTGGAACATTTTTATTTTTTAAACATTATTATTTTTACATATACTTTAATTCATAAAATGTATTAGAATGTATTTTTACATTTTAAATGATACATTATCATATTTTCCGTCAAAAATGGCCAACAACGTGGAACATATATTTTTTAAATGTAAATTAAATAATTTTTACAGTATTTTTCTGCAACAAAAACTAATCAAAACTGAACACCTAAATTATAAATTATATCATTTATTATCGTTTTTATATCTAAAAACATTTCGATTATATTAAAATAAAAATATAAAATATTTTTGATGATGTATAAACACCGTGCAAATGTACTTGATTGTCAAAAAAAAGCTATAAAAATAGACGATTACTAAAACAAATGCAGTTCGGTGTCATTTATGTCAAATGCATACATCTAAAGGTATCACATCTAAATATATACATGTGTGAATTAGAGCATAATTTTAGTGAATAACAACTTCAATTTCAGTTCATTCTTCACACAAACATATTAAATGGCTTTTGAAGACTTGCAAACCGGGCATGAGTCAGATGGACTACTGTTCTGAAATCTTCCTGACAGATTCATAAGTTCTGGCATAAATAATAGATGTTCTTGTCCTGGTTTGCCATCAGAAATGCGGGCTGTGTTAGAAAGGATGCTCGACGAACTCCACCGGTGTCTTGGTGAGATGCTCCAGCGCTTTGGTCTCCACGAACGACGACATCTGATAACTGCGTTTGCTCTCTGAAAGCAGACCAAGCTGGTTTGAATCAGATCTTCAGATGGGTGATCTCTTCATCATATGTGCTCAAAACTTACTCTTGGAAATCTCAAACGAGTGGAACTTGGTGGGCTGGATGTAGTTGACCAGTGTGGACATTTCTTCAGTGGCAAAGGCTTCGGATCCTGCTGTACCCTGAATAAAAATCACAAAAACATCAGTGTTTGAGCTCATGGACATCATTTTCTGAAGGCTGAGCACCTCATTTCACAATTAGTTGAGAAAATTGTATATTTTAAGAGTTTCAAACATTATTTTGCACTCCATTGGTGAAAACGTACACAAGAGCTAAAACATTGTATTTACAAGCAGAGTAATTAACTTCTGCGCATGACCTCAAAATGACCAATCAATCCGTTTCAAAATGAGACAAAGTATAAATATTAGACAAAAAACCTAAACTTAAAAAAATATAAATGAATAAGAAATAAGAAAAAAACACAGAAATAAAAAACAACTAGAATTTAGAAATAGTTAAACATGAAATAAAAATAAATTAAAGCTATATAGAAATATTAAATAAAAAACCTACAAAAATAGAATTTAGAAATGTTGCCTTGGCAACTAACTGAAATAAATAAGTTTAAGCTGAAGTGCTAAAATTACTAAAACTAAAACTGAGATACAATAGATTAAAAGGTATATAGCAATATATAACGTATATATAATGATATTAACAGCTTATTACAAATTCGAAATGTTGAAATAACTGAAATAAAATAGGTTATTTATATTGATCAAAAAGTACTAAAATAACTCAAACTAAAATAAAAAAAGCTACATGGAAATTAAAAATAGAAAACAAAAACTGAAAATGACAAAAGCACATAAAGTTACTCAGATTTCCACTAAAATTAAAACGGATGAAAATATGAATCAATACTATAATATAAAAGCATCATCTCTTCCTGACCTCGTCCATGGACTTCTTACAGTCATCATCATCATCATCTTCATCCTCATCTTCCTCAGCCTCCACCTCTGCAGGCGCTAAAGCTGAAAAACAGGATCAAATCCAACTTCAGTCAAATCAAATGCTGAGTTCCTCTTAAACAGCGGTTTGGATGCGCTGAAGAAAGTGCATGAGAGAGCTGGTGTGAGAGAAGAACCAGAGGGTTCAGCCTGAACTCAAGAGACACACTAATGAAAACGCTCTCATCATTTACTCATCCTCGAGTTATTTATTTCACACACACGTCATTTCCAAACAACAACCGCCAACAATCAGTCTCCAAAAACACCCCGATTTCATTCATGGGCTAATCCAGTTCATTTGTGCAAAAATGTCAATTATTTATTTCATGATTTATGTATTATTAAATAAATAATTAAAAAAAAAATTTATGTATGGGTGATTTGTGCAGAATCTGTTTAATTTGTTGCACAAACAAATTCTTTATTTAATTATTGATTTATCCTCAAATAAACAGCAATAAATAAATTAGACAACTGTAATTTTTGGCTGATTATGTAATGTAATTATTTTACTCATCCTCGAGTTATTTATTTCACACACACGTCATTTCCAAACAACAACCGCCAACAATCAGTCTCCAAAAACACCACACTTTCATTCATGGGCTAATCCAGTTCATTTGTGCAAAAATGTCAATTATTTATTTCATGATTTAGGTATTATTAAATAAATAATTAAAAAAAAATTTAATGTATGGGCGATTTGTGCAGAATTTTTATCTATCAATAAATAGATTTAATTAAAAATTTTTTGGGTGATCTGTTTAATTTGTTGCACAAACAAATTCTTTATCTAATTATTGATTTATCCTCAAATAAACAGCAATAAATAAATTAGACAACTGTAATTTTTGGCTGATTATGTAATGTAATTATTGTTTATTTACAATTTACAAATTTAATTGCAATATATTATATATTATATTACATTTACTATTTACAAATACAAATGTAATTTTAATTTGTTATACATTGCATATTTACAAATTATAACAAAAATAATTATAACAAAACATTACAGTATATTATATAATTACAATAAATTATAAACTCTACATTAGATCTACAACTTAGAAATGTCATTTTAATGATTTTTTATTATTATTTTAGAATATATTATGCATCCATCCATTCTCTGCTTATCCTATATGATCGAGGAATTATATTATATTATATTATATTATACTATATTATATTATATTATATTATATACAATTTACAAATTTAATTTAAATTTATTATATTATATTTAATATTTACAACAAATTTATACACATTTATATTTTATTTACAATTAAACAATTTGAATTTGAATTTATTATATTATATATTTACAATTTTCAAATTTACACAAAATGCTAATAACAGCAGCACTACGGTTTGTATATTTTCAAATTTCACCATCAGTCATGTAAATTAATATTTAAATGATTTTTCTTTTTTAATTAATTTGTTTTTAAATTAATTATATAAATAAATATTTAAAATAATAAGCACTTAAATGAATTAATTAATTAAATCTTGTTTAATTTAGCACTGTCTGACTCAGTCATGCAGATTTGAGGATGTAATACCTGCGGGTCCAGCGCTGGGAGACGACGGCTCAAAGACGCTGGACGAGTCGCTGTTGGTGTTGGACGCCTGCTCGGACAGCTTCTTCTTAGTGCTGCCGTCTGAGGGTTTGGGGTGAGATTTCTTGTTCTTGATGAGGATCTTTCCCACGAGCTCATGAGGGCTTGGCAGAGGAACGCCGGACTCAATCTGAAACACAGCAGAATCAGTCAGGAGAACGCTGACTGATAACAGAGCACAAATGCATCAAGGACAGAGACACTTACAGGATATTTCTCCAGAGTCTCAGTCAAAAGAGCATCCCCGAATATCGATCGGCAATATTCTGCCATTTTGGCTTGCTGTTTGGGGCTGCCATTCAACAGAAACACATGAAACAGCCATTTTTGCATAAACAATGAGTAACAAATTAGCGCTTCGCAACATTTGCTGCATCAACAAAAGTAAATTACAGTATAAAGTCCAAGACCAAGATGAAATCTGCAGACCGTTTGATCATTTCTTTGCTGATTTAGGGGGGAAATTTGGAAAATTCTGTTGAATAGATTTAAATATGGTAATAAACAAAATGTAGCATGTAACAAAAATGTAACAAAAAAAAATCATATTGGAACAAAGCAAAATAAAATAAAATAGTAAAATAAACTGATTCACTGATTTAGGGGTAGATTTTGAATACTACAGAATAGATGGTAATAAAATGAACTAAACTTATTGGAAGCTGAAAGCATAATAAAAAATAAAATAAATTAAAATAAAATAATTAAATTAAATAAGAAATAAGAAATAAAATATTGAATATTGTCACGCTCAGGTCGAGGCAAGGCACACGAAGATGAAGATAATCTTAATAATATAATTAATAGTAATCCACGATGATGTAGACTGGATGACAACAGCAGTAACAAACTATAACCGACCGAGCACTGAACAAAGGAGTGAGCTTAAATGAAGCAACTAATGAGGGCAACACAGGTGCAGGAGTTTAACTGATAAAGAACTGAACAAGATAATGACCTAATGAATTAAACTAGGACAGGAACAAAACCAATTAAGGGCAAACAGGAAAAGGAAACACAAAAGACAAAAATCAAGTCCATAATAGTGACAGATCGCCCCCCTCCCGGAAGGCACGACCTTGCGCCACTGAGACAAAGGGAGGGATGGGGGAGGACACAGGAGGAGGAAGCAAGGAGTGGAGAAGGGATGCTGCAAAGGGCTGGCAAGCAGACAAGACAGGTGGATGCCAACCAAAGTCCATGGTGAAGCTGATGGAGGGAGGAGCCAGGGAGAAGCCAGGAGGAAGCAGGAGGAGCCAGGTGGGACCCAGGCCACAGCCATGATGGTGGCCCACAGTGGAGCCAACGGAGGGAGGGGCCATGGTGGAGGAAGGGTTGACGACTCCAGGGGCCGACCGACGGCAGCGGAGCAGGTGGTGGAGCCCGAGGCGGAGAGCCGAAGAGCCAAGGTGACGCTGAGGATCCGTAGGGCCAAGCAGATGGCTCCGGAGCGACAGAGGACCCAGGTGGAGCTGGAGGGAAGGAGGAGCCTGACAAAGTCAGAGGGACGAGGCGCAGCCGGAGGAGTGGAGTCCCGAGGCGGCGGATGGTCAACGACAGACCAAGGCGGAGCTGGAGGGATGAGGGAGCCTGGCGGAGCTGGTGGACTGATGGACCATAGTGGAGAGGAGGGAGCTAGGAGCCATAGTGGAGCCGCTGGGTCGAAGGGCCGAGGCGGAGTCCGGGACTCAGAGGCTGGAGGCAAAGACAAGGGATCCTCCAGCCACTACGCCAATGGAGACTGTCAGACCCCCGGCGATCCCACCGCACCGATGGTGGGCTGAGGGTGAGCAGAGGGGCTGTCAGGAGACAGCGGAGGCGGTTGTGAGGACTGGTGCAGAGGTGGTGGGAGAGGGAGGCTGGGCAGGAGTTCAGGATGATTAGGGGGCTTAGTAACGGTGTGTGCTGCCCACACACACCACAAGGCCACTCCCAACAAAGGGGGCGCCAGTGATAGGGGAACAATCTTCATGGTCGTTGTCCCACAGGCAGATAGTTCAGGGCAGATAGACAGTTCAGGGCAGACAGATAATTCAGAGCAGACTGACAGTTCAGATGATGGTGGGAGGAAAATGCGCATGTCCACATATAAATCCGAATCATAGTCCACTGAGCTCGGCTCACCCTCAGCCATGGTGCAGTGGATGGAGCTTTTCCTCCGCACTCTCACTGTCCATAGTGATGTCCCTTGTGGCGAGCTCTGTAGCCGGCTCTCGCACCTGGTCTGACGTCACAGACTCTGGCTCCGGGGCGATCCTCAGCTCTGTTGCTCCTCTTGGCGATGGCTCGTCGGTCCCAGTGGGCTATGGCTCTCCATCATCGGTGGGCTCAGGCTCTTGCTTCGCGCAGCGGGGTGATGTTGGGCTGGGCTCTGGATCAAGCGGCGTTCTAGATCGGGGCCGGATGCTCTCCAGACACTGGATGATCGCCTCCCTCCAGTTAAGTCCCGTGGTGTCTAGGAGGTCGACGGGGCGGTGGCAGTTTTCCCCGATCTTGAACAGGGACTTCAGCGTCTCGTCGTTGAAGGTGGTGGTTATGGCGAAACAGCTGAAGTCCCTTGCGAAATCCTTGATATCCTGGCTCCTCCGAGCAAGAGCGGCGAATCTCGCAAAACTTTCAAAAAGGAAAACAAAACATGCAGCGCACTTTAAATTCTTTGGGTTGGTTATTCTGTCACGCTTAGGTTGCGGCAAGGCACATGAAGATGAAGATAATCTTAATAATATATTTAATAGTAATCCACAATGATGAAGACTGGGTGACAACAGCAGTAACAAACAATAACCGACCGAGCACTGAACAAAGGAGTGAGCTTAAATGAGGCAACTAATGAGGGCAACAGAGGTGCAGTAGTTTAACTGATAAAGAACTGAACAAGATAATGACCTAATGAACTAAACTAGGACAGGAACAGGAAGGGCAAACAGGAAAAGGGAACACAAAAGACAAAACTCAAGTCCATAATAGTGACAAATATAAAAAATAGAACAATAACCTTAAATTAATTTGATATATATTTAGGGAGAAGTTTTGTAGAATTCTACAGAATACATTTAAATATGGCAATAAATAAAATATCCTAAACTCTTAGTTGAACGCATAATGAAATAAAATGTAAAAATAAAATAATAAAATAAAATAAATAATACAAATATTGGTTATAATAATCTAAAATAAAAAAATAAAATATGGAATAAAATAGCATCTTAATTTAAATATGGCAATAAACAAAATGTACTAAACTCTAATTTGAAGCTGAAAAGCATAATGAAAAAAAATATATAAAATAAAGAATAAATTATAGAATAAAAAAATTATTGATTTAGGGGGAAATCTTCTAAATATGGTAAAATGTGTAATATGGTAATAAATAAAATATCCTAAACCCTAACTGGAAGCTGAAAGCATAATTAAATAAAATAAAATACAACATAGAATAAAATAAAATTAAATAATTAAATAAATAATATCAAATAATTATTTTTAAAAAATTATAAAAATAAAATTCCAAAATTAGCACCTGCCAATGTTCACATGCATGTCATTCTGGGAAACTACATCTGCAGCTGTGATGTGACTGAAGTGAAATTCCCTGACTGCATGCACATCATGTCATCTCTGATTTGATGCAGAAAACAAAGCGAGCCAGCGCGTGTGACATCTCACTAGACAACAATGATGACTGAAAACAAATTATGCATTTCAGAGACACTTCTAATTGCTCCACTCTTTGTTGCCATAGTTGCAGTCGGCCCCAAGGAGACGCGGCACTACGGGAAGAAAACCAGCAGCATCTACACTTACGAGTCCACATGATTCTCAAAGGACAGGATGACGGGGAACGGAGACGTCTTAAAAGCGCACTCTGCTATGGCTTCGATCACTTCCTGGAAAACAAGAACAGACTGAAATATTTTGATATGTCATAGTGGAATAGCTCCATTTATATTGTTTATTTCTCTTTTGAATGCAGTTATAATACTAAATGCATAGGCATAGCTGATTTGTATTATTGTATTTTCTATTTAACTTGTTACTGAATAAAATGTACTTTAATTAGGCTTTGTTTTATTATATAAATTAAACTAAAAAAAAAATAATGAAATAATAAAAATAAAAATAATAACAAATTAGGTAGAATTCTGTAGAATAGATTTAAATATAGGAATAAATAAAATGAACTGAACTCTTTGTGGAATCTGAAAATAATAAAATGAAATAAAAATGAAAATGTAAGATGAAATAAAATAAAAATTATAATAAAAAAGGAAAAAGTAAGATAAAATGAAAAAAAGAAAAGAAATACAACAAAATAAAATAATATCTTTGGTGGTTTAGATTTAAATACGGTAAGAAATAAAACGTACTAAACTCTTTTTAGAATCTGAAATGAAACAAAAACAGAATAAAATAAAGTATAAAATCTAAAAATGACAATAAATGTACAAAACTCTTATTGGAATCTGAAATCATAATATAATCAAATCAAATAATTATTAAAAACGAATTAGCTTTAATAAAATTAAACAAGCATTC